TGTTACCTTGAACGTGAAGGAAAAGTTACAAACCTGCTGGAATCTCTCTGTATCTCTTTCAATAAGCAGCTCAGATGGTGTCTAACCGTCTAGATTGCAATTTTGGTTGCTATGATTTTGCCAAACTAAGCCACTGTTGGGAAACCCTGAAAATTTTCCATGTGAACTCCTTGCTTCATACTGATTTTAGCTGACCTTTTAAACTGAAATTATGTTAAAACTGTTTGTCTATAGGGAAAAAAATTCATCTTAATTTGTTCAGAAGTGAAGGACAGTCATCCAGGATAGCTCTTGAAGTTTTTCTGAAAATGAGCCTAAATCCAGTTAGCATATGAATGCCTACAAACTATAGCCATCTCATTTGAAATTTCCCTTCCTGCCTTCTAACTTTTGCAACAAACAGGACCCGGGGGGAAACAAGGGAAAACAGTTCATAGTCATGGAATTAAAGACACTGCCACAATACCCAGTTCTGAAGATAACTCACTTTTGAGTGCTTAGTTTAGCAGCATCTCTTGATTTTAATCCAATTAGAAATCTCTCTCATTTATATATATATGGTGTCAATATGCCCTTCAGTGCAGTGCATGATATACCTTAAACTGCTAGCAGCTTTACTTTCTCCTTTTGCAGAGTCATTGTGGTACAAAGCTGAATATGTCACATACACTTTCTCAGTGAAGCATTGCATTATTAGTAGGTTCTCAGCATCATTTGAATGCAATTAATATTTTGAACAAAAAGAAATACTGAAAAATAATTCTAAAATGTTCTCAATGAACTTCTTTAACTTGTCATTTTTACATACCGCTTTCGCTAAGAATTTTCTAAATTGAACTGTTCTGTTGCTGTCTGAGAACCGGGTTTTATGTAGCGAACATGTAAGAAATCTGCAACAGATTTTAGATGAATTATGCAAAATCTTTCAAAAAGACTAATTTGGTTTAAGTTTAGCATTTTTTTCTTGAAAAGTATTTTTTTTCTTTTTTGCTAATTTATTGCATTATAAGTGAATCTGCTATTTAAGAACATTCTTTAAAGAATTTTTATGGATTTTTGTCTCATATATGCACAGCGTTGGCATGAATTTCTCTGTGTGGTACATCTGTGTGCTGAAGGTTGTAGAAACAATTCTGTGCTGAAGAAATGTGCTGGGTAATTAAAATACTGGCATATAAAGCAAAAACTTAAGCATAAGAATGACTGCACTGTTAGAGTATTATTTCTTAAAGTTGCACAGTGAGCCTTCTTTAAAGCAAAATAAATATTCTGTGCTAATGTGTAGGGATATGTCTGTAGGTGCATATTATACATGCACACACAAAAAAAATTGTATATCTGAATCAGAAGATCATCTAATAACTCATATATGCTATGTTAGGTCATATATGCTACATTGTCTGGCACACATATGATTTATAGAGCAAAAGCTCCTTTGGAGCTTGATACTCATCTTTTCCCCTAGACAAGCAAGGCCCTGTTCAGAGGTGAGAGTCTTAAGCACTAGGCTGTCAAACCTACCAAAAAAAAAAAACCACAAAAAAAAAATCAGGCTCAATTTATGACTGTAAAGGGATAAAGGGATTCTAACTAAAGGATTTGGTCAAATAGCTGACTTCCTCCCCTTCTTCCTGTTTCCAGATAGTCAAAAGTGTTGTTCTATAATGAAGACCATTTATCTACTAGAGGACTAGAAAGTTGAGAAAAGCTGAATATGTAAACTCTGTAGGTGTGTCTGAACAGCTGAAACTGCACCTATTAACCATGATCAGTGCTGTACAACAATTTGTATATAAATCAGTATAGATTTAGCAATTTATTTTTTTTTGCTTTATAGTGGAGAGTGGCGTTTGGTTTTTTTTTTCATTCAACTCATTTCTAAAGTACGTTAGCAAATTTTACTCCCAGGATAAGGTCAGCCCTGTAAAGAGTCAATCTGATGGGTGAAAATTTTGAACAGTTGTGATCATGTAAAAATAGGAAACCAGAATGGAAGTTCTCTGCCTCCGACTTGGTTTAGATATCACTCAGAGAAATCTACGCTTTGTATCCCTACCTCAGTTCTGTCTGCACATATTTTTCAAAACCATTGTTTACAATTTATTTTCTATAATTTCTGATAATTATGATGGACATGATAGATAAATGCAGCAAGGGGAAAGACACACAAAATTCTGATTCAGTACTCATGACTAAGCAAGATACTAGAAGTCATCTGGCCCAAATCTTTAAAAGATGTTTAAGCAGTTAGCTGACAGTCTGTTTCAATAGCTGTCAGGCACCCACATGTCTTTAAAGACTGCGATTGTGAGTTTAGGTAGCACAAATTTATTTTAAGCTAATTTCTTCTGGCTAAACAAATAATGAAGAGCTAAACTGCACCAAAGCTAATGAAAACCATGCCTTTGGTTATTTTCTCTGGACTTTAATTCCATTTGAAGTTTGGTTTTATTCTCATTACATATTTCATGGTTAGAAAGCTTACCTAGCTTAGTTGTCTAATTTTGAAATAGTTTAAATGCTAAGCCTGTAAAATATGTATAGCTTGAATTGAAATGAACAAAGAATACTAGTTTTCCTTTGGGAAATAGCTTTAATTTAAAAAGAAAATTATGTTTTTCATGTAACTCAGCTGGGATTGGATTTGTTAGCAAAATAGCTATTTGTTGTTTTGAAAATTTAGTTCTGCTTAAGCTACAGGCTCAATAAGAAGTCAGCACACAGAAAATTCCCATATAAGAGCTAAGCCACGGATGCACCTAGCTTGGCTGGGTTACCAAAGAAGAGACTGTAAATTGACTTCTTGTAAAATGTGTCTCACAAAAAATGAATGTGTGTAAGATAGAAGTGGTGTGTATTTTCTTTTCCCCTCTACTCCCGTGGAGTATAAGATGCTGATTAGTATACGGGCACCACTGTAGGCCCTGAAAACCTGGCTTTTGTGTACCACATTCCCAGAGCTTCATTGTTGACGCAGAAGTCACGGACACTGCACACGATCAATGTGATCAAGCAAATGCCAATTTATTGTTGATACATCCCGGTTAATATAGCTCTTCTATTTCCCTATCATGCACAAACTCCTAACTAATTGGTTAACTATATCTGTACACGCACTCTTAGCTACGATATGATTCGTTAAAGACTCTTGTCCACGCGCACGGTCCTCTCCACCTGCATCCTGCTTTGCTTTCTGATCTCAGTCACATACACCAACTTTTCTTCTTCTTCTCAAGGTTGTTCTCATCATTATTTGACTGCAGGCAGCTCCCACAATGTCCTTGAGGCTTACTGCTCACAAACACAACAGGTGCATTCGATCTGGATTGTTCACTAAGTGTCCTTGATTCTTCAGATGTCCCACACTTCGGTTTTTTTTTGGCTTTTTATTTTGGTTGGGGTTTCTTTGTTTGGTTTTTTGTCTCGTGCTATATTCCTAGCAAAGCAGCTTTGTTCTGCTTTCCCATTATTGTAGATTCTTTTTCTCATGGCTCTAAGCTACACCACGGAAGAATAGTGAAGCTGCTGGTTTTGATCCATAGTTCCTTCACTTAGGCATTGACATCTCCTCCTCCCCTTGCTTATAGACTTGGCAGCCTTGGTGCTGTGCTGTAGCCAGTCTTCCCCAGGGTGTCTTTGCCAGGTTGCCTGCTGGTGTACGCCAGGTGCTCCTGTGCCATTAAGAAGGTCGCCCTTCTTCCCTAATGTGGCTGGTAGGAAGACAACCTCACCGCAGGGTCCTCCCCGGCCTTTTTCCTACCTCAGGAGCAGTGTGGCCTCAGTTTTCTCCATAAAGGGAAGAGTTACTCCTCAGACATGTTCAGCCTCCTCTGCATGTACACATCTGAGAGTGCCTTTCCTAAGTACTAAATTTCTAAGCTCTAAGTTTCATTTGCGTGACACCAGGATCTGTGCTGTTGCTACTTCTCTATTTTGAAATAACATTTCTCAGGCTTCAGCTTTTTTCTCCTTGCCCTTACATGCCCTTACGTGCCAATTTGACTCTAAGGGCATGGGTGCTTTATTGTGTTTTTTTGGGGTGGGGATGGGAGGGAGTTACTCTTCACTGAGGTGAACCTCCTTCACTTCAGGTGTTTGGTTAAGCCTTCTGCTCACTGTAGAGCTTCCTCTGCTCTCGCACAGACGCTTGCCAATAAAGCTGTTTTGATGGGTGAATGTTTTCCTGATACAATCATGAGTCTGTTTGGAAGAGGGAAGGATCACCAAGACATTTGGACATGTGTCACAGAAGAAAACCATCAGATTGTGATGTTAGGACACTGATCATTTTATTCGTAACCACAACATGAAAAACATTTGTATCCCATTACACGGTAACAACAGTTCTGGGACCAGCCCCTAACTCAGGGTCTACTTTCAAGGTGTAGTTTTGGTTTTCCCAGATAATGCAGCTCTCTGTTTCAAAGGGACAGTGAAGAATGCAAAAGAGGAAGGACCATGACTTTTTAACACTTGCCTCCTAAAAAACATGTGTGTGTGTGTATACACTGTGCCATACGTTTTACTCCAAAGTACTCAAAACCGTTCTCTAAATCCTTTTTACTGTGTAAGTCCAAAGAGAGATCCTAGGGAGTTTTTGTACTTCTCATACTGCATATTTTCAGCTTGGGGTTAGATTCTTCTAACTTTTGAGTATTTTATTGGCATTACTTACAGACCAAGAACTATTCAGCTCTTAGAAAGAGCACCGGTAATTTTCTTAAAGGTTTTGCAACGCATAAAAGGGAAAAACAGTCTTATTTCTCTTGATTCACCTTCAGACCATGTAGCAAATTCAAAGAGAAATAACTAAGTGAAGAGAAATTACCAAGTGGCAGAAGGGAACAAGGAATATGTTCCTGGGCCTCAATCTAAAGGTCATATACTCGGTGTTTTATGAATGTCAAGCCTGAAAACGAAAAAGCAGTGTAAATAAACAGGTGCCTTTGAATTGCTTGTTGGCAAGTTCCCTCACTAGCTCTTGCTGTCCTTCCCATCAGGATCTGTCACTGTGAGGGAGATGATGAAAGTCCCCTCATCACACCATGTCGCTGCACAGGGACCCTGCGCTTTGTTCACCAGGCCTGCCTGCACCAGTGGATTAAGAGCTCAGACACGCGCTGTTGTGAACTCTGCAAGTACGACTTTATAATGGAGACCAAGCTCAAACCTCTTCGGAAGGTACGGTGCTTTTGAATTTAATTACACTCAAGCGTCAAATGGCCAGAACAGCTGCGCAAAATGCTGGCACATTTAAAGAAACAGCTGCCTGTCCAAAATGCCTTTGTATTTGCTGTTGTTAAATCAGTTGCAGTGATTTTATTTCTACATTTAAGTTACGTAATTCACAGCAGCAGAGGATTTTGCTTAAAGACTCTCTTTAACCACACATGCAATACAAATGCACTGATCTGCTTATTTTTAAGCCACAAAGAAACCTTACTCATCATGTTTTGCTCCTGAATAACACAGGCCAATACACCCAGTAATTTTGCATTGAGCCCATAACTTCTGGTTGAGAATGATGCTTATACCAATGTGGAGACAGCAATTATGAAGTAACACAGTCGATCAGTTTAGCTGCATTTGTTCTAACTGTTCCACTTGTGGGCAAATTAATCACTCGCACGTTAAGATTAGTTAATGGAATCTAAACTACAGGGTGACCTTGCATCCTGAAAGTCAAATGTATGTTATCTGCACTCATCTGTTTTCCAGGATAAATCAATTTAATGGTACATGGGTTGTCAGTATAGGGAAGGTGAAGAGTTTGTTAAACATATGTGGGTTGTATTTTCTTTGGAGTGAATAATTTCTCCTCTGATTTTTCTCTAAAAATGCTCTCATCCTTTTGGGGTTTTGCTGCATCTTTGAAGTTTGAGTCAATCTAGAACAGGGCAAGTTTTAATGTAAAATAAATTTCAGTGTGAGAGCCCATGAAAAGCATGTAAAAATTATTAGCTTTTAACTAGTGTATGCATATGCAGTAGTGTTTTGATGGCAAGAGACATTTTGATTTTGTCAGCTTTGCACAGGTAGCAGTTCAGAGAAAGGAGAGCAAATGAAATTCCTTTTCATTTTCCATCCAGAGAAGTTCTCTAGTAAGTCCCTGATGATAAACCACTTTTGAAGAGAGAATTGGGATTGATTTGACAAGCAAAGCTTGTGATAGGAAAGGTCATAGTTCTCAAGTGCCAGGTAGATCTTGCCAGGTAGACTAGAAATTGAAACAGATGCAAATAAAAAACTGATGGCTAAAAACTTGATTATATTGACTTAGTTTTTAGTAATTGCAGATGAATTTTAGCTAATGTGACAGGAAGGATATAATTGTATAAAATCCCCTGCCTGTAGCATACCTTTTAGGTTTTTCTTCTGTATATGTGTAACTATTTTCAACACAAATTGCTTTAACCTTTCATTAGCAAATACATTTGCAATAGCCACTTTTCCTAAGAGAATATACAGATATCAGTATTTTTAACAAAAGCATCTTTCTGATTGAGTTACATAATAGAATGTCTTTAAAAAAATGGAAATAAAATTCATAGCATCCGAGGAGAAAAGGAGTGAAAAATGTGCATAACTGTGGATACCAGAACTAGGCACTTTTCACTGTCTCTCATTATTGCTGCCCCTCCCCCCCCCTTTCTTTGTTAATTGAAAGAAATTAATGAAATACTGACAGATTTAGAGTGATAATGTAATTCCTGCAAGTCTGTTGCTTCTTAGCTGAATGATTACCACCTTGTTAATTTCATTGATTCTCAGGTTAGGTTTTGATTTCCAACCTAGCAAAGATGAGGCTTTTCTTTCAGACAGGATATTTTTGTTTCTGCTCAAAGCAGTATTCAAATGTACTTTATCTGCCTGACAGTAAATGCTGGCAGCATTATCCCCTTCAAATGCATTGCTAACAAAAAATTGTCTGCGTAGCATGGACCTAGCATCTAATTACAGATCCTTTCTTAGAATTTACGCCCATTTCAAAAACCAAAACTTGGAAACATTTTTCAAAGTTTCCAAGGGTTTCAAGTTAAAACCAGTTACCCTTTTTGCACGTATAGCATTCAACTGTGACACCCTTCATATGTTGTATTCAATTAAATATATCATGCCTAATGAGTGTATGCACTATCATCCCCATCGTTCACAATTTATGAAACACTAAATGGTTTATGAGAAGCTGTTTTGTAAACCAAGCATTTTGAGAGCTGTAGCAAAGACAACAGTGATCATCAAGAGGCCTGCCAGATAAGACCAGCTGACTGGTAACTTTTCACCCAAACATCTTCTATAAAAATCACTGAAAGTGCTGTTTTGTCAAAACCTGTGTGTTTTGCAAAAGTGGAAACTTCCAATGAAACACTGTCAGATTTCTTGCAAGCTTTTACGGAGTCCAGAACCTCAGCTGTGGGGCATTCCCTAGGAGCCCAGGTTTTCAGAAGATGGCATGAAGACTGGTTACCAGAGATCAACGTGCTGTTGGACAGGCAGCTCAGGAAGCTGAAGCTCTCCACAATCCTGTCTCCTTGTTGCAGGATCTGAAAATCACTACCAGAGACTCTATGACTTCCAGACCTTCTTGAGATCTTTAGGTTTTTGTACAAGACCCTGAGAGTCTTCAGTCTCCAGCGCTGAGTCCAGCCTTGCAGCAGTGAATTAAAATTTCCCAAATCTCCTAAGGATGGAAAATGAGGAATTCTCTGGTTATAATGGCAGGGACATTATAAGCAGTGGCAGTTATACCTGAAAATGATGCAATTCTTGTCAGTTTTCAGTGGAAACAGCAAAAGTGACCAAAAAAAATGATTTATGTTGCTAATAAACTTTGAGGAATTCTGAAAACAGATTTCATTTCAATGTTTCCTAAAGAAAAGACTACAGATTTAGTTCCAACAGAAGCGTACCTATTCATTTTCATAAGAAACTCATTTTATTAAAAAAACCCAGAAATTTCCCCTGAAGTGAAAGCTTCTGGCCAGCTCCAGAAGATGTCATTTCCATGGCCATTAGACCTGGATTTGAAGTGGCATTCTACAAGTGAAAGGGTCACATCTCTCAACCAGTTCTGATTTTTAATCTCTACCGTAGCCATGATGTGAGATTCTGTAGTTTAGTTCTTGACTATGCATTGCTTCATTATGATTAATTTTTATCATAATACCTTTGTAACATTCCAACACTGGTCTCCCAAGGGGAAAAATTACAGACCACAGAACTTAATTACAGGTGTCTATACTTTTGGTTTAGCAGTATCACAAAACCAGAATTTAAATATAAGACTAACTATTCAACTCCACTGGTGAATTGCCATCTTTATTCACGCCTCAGCCTTTCATGCACCTCAAGTGTTTCCTAACAGTTTTTAATCAAAGTCTAGTGCTGTAAATAGCAAAATCGTGTTTGAATGTCATGTCATACAGCTGTTAGCGCCCATAAGTGACAATATGTGCAACATACTAAGTTAACATAAATCAAGATACCTCTATTAAATCAATAGGCTTGTGCCAATATGCAACAATTATTTTATTACGGAATCCCCAAAAGCACCAGACATAAAATAAAACTTAGTTTAATCATTTTAGTGAGTCTTTGCACTGAAGTAGTCCTTTTAAGCATTGATCAACAGGCATTGCAAGTGTTTCATATATTTGAGCAGGTGTAATTACTTGGCTAAATATAAATTTAGAGGCCAAATATTAAGCATTGCTTAGTGTGTCTGTTTTATCTCTCGTGGTCTCTGTTCTGTCTATCTGTAGTTATAAATAATACAGTTGCATTTGTAGCTTCTCCTTTCAGCATTTGCAACCCATAATGCAGAATTTATCATTTGTAAAGTGACTTTATTTATCATGGAAGGAATTAGAAAGTGGCAAGAAGCTTGTGTGAGTTCCTTGTGGGGCTCTCTCAGGTAATAGCTTCATCCTGAGGAAATCACTTCTTTAAAAAGGATGTAATCCTGGTAAAGTAGCACCTGCATTTCGTATCTCTTGAATTTGGTGTTTGAAGCATAGTAGAAACAGGAACTGAATGAAAATACTGTGAGTATGAAATGGATTAAAGTGTCAAATTAAAAGGCGCTTAAAATGCAGAACTGTCTTCAAATGGAGATTTCTCCATGGTGTCTCGCTATGCTTCAAAATACTTTTCGTATTTAAATGTTGCTGTCCATTTAAGATGTCTGATATCTGATGAGATGTTTTACTTTGATGCATTATCCCAACAGATTATTTTCTGGTGTCAGATATGTCTATTTTCTCTCCTGATTTTGTTTTATCTTTGAAATGATTTACAAATAATGTCTTATTTATCTGAGGCATAAGCAACATTGCACATTACTACCATGTAGTTACTCTTGATCATTAAGGAAGAGAGAGTTGATTTTTTGTTTAGGAAAGCATTAGGTACCAGTTGAGGTTGATTTTCTTTCTGATTGAAAGGGTATCTGAATTTCTCCCTTTTAAAAATAGAGGCTCGGGAGTATTCTTTTAGAACACAGTGGTAAGTTTCTGTTAAATTAAGCAGAAGCAAAATCAGTCTTAAAATACCGATAATGCAAGAAACTTTATCTTCTTGTTTATTTTGATTGTGAATCTTCTAAGTGTTTGCTCCTCTTGTATCCTGTATTTGTTATATAATGATAAATAGAACTTCTAATCTGATACAAGGTGCATCTGTCTGCGTTTTACACCCTTGAACTCTGTGGAACTTCTTGTGTATACAGCTGCTGTCTTTAGAGGAGAAGGAAGGAATGCTGTCTCTCTGCTTGGCATAATTTATTTTACAAATAGCCAGATTGTAATGAGTGATAAAATGTCCATGCCAGCTTTAACTCCCATGCAGGATTCAAAGGTTTAAGTCACAGTTGGAGATAAGTGATTCACAACTGCCCAGAACAGGGTGTTTAGGTCCTGGAGAGAAGTTATGGAACTGGCTAACTCAAATTTCCATACGAAGCAAAACCCAGTTCAAGCATATCAGTGCCCCGTTGTGGTCAGATTAGTGATTGACTAGATAAATCAGTTTGGGGAAGATTTCAAGTGGTCTGATGCTGATTTAACTATTGGATGGAAAGCAAATACTTAGTCTTGCTGTAGTAGGTTAAAGGTACTCTGCTTGCAACAAGACCATTGGGTGGGTAGGCACAGTGTAACTAGCTAAGATGTAGGGTTTGAGCC